CATATATTATCGGTAAATATGTAAAAAAATCTTTTAGAAGAGGAAAATACAAGTATAATTCTTGCTAACTTCCTAGGAAGTATATATACACAGATTAGATAAATATATCCATCATTATTGGAAAATTATCTATACATAGGATACTTTCAGAATGATTCAGAAGGGATCGCTCAAACTCAAATTCTGATTAGGTTTCTGTAATTATTGTCCATTTCAGAGGTAAATGGTCGTGGCTATTTTTTCAATAACTTCTGATCGACTGAGGCTATTGAGTTCGGAGTTGTGTGTTTTGAAAGACCAGACTCTAATGCATATTTTTGTATAACTCATTTCAGTCTACAAACTCTTTTTTTACGACTGTTTATACGTCGATATATTGTTTTTGTATTTTCGCAACGAGTTTTTTTCATTCTAATTCCCGTTATACCAAATTATAGCCGAAGTTCCATTGTATATACAGTAAAATTACCATACATCAAAGCGACCGTGTTGAAGGAAAGAAATCAGAAAGACGATATGAAGATGTCCAAATCTTACCATACATACAGCGGAATTCCAGCTTCAATTTGGTATAATGAGAATTAGAATGTAAAAAAAACTCGTTACGAAAATACAAAAACAATATATCGATGTACAGACAGTCATAAAAAGGTGTTCGTAGACTCAAATGGGTTATACAAAAAGATGCATTAGAGTCTGCTTTTTCCAAACACGCAATCCCGAACTCCATAGCCTTAGTCGATCAGAAGGTATTGAAAAAATAGTCACGGCAATTTAACTCTGAAATGGACAATAGTTAGATCTAACTAGAGTTCTGCATGATACCCATGCAAAAAAAACGCGGAAAAAATCAGCTTTAGAAAGGTCAAAATCGATTAAAATCATACAATTTTTAATCAATAATTCAGCAGTAATAGTCATGGCAAAATCAGATTGTAATCGACTATTTCGATTACTATGATTATAATCGATTTTTGAAAATATTCTAAATCGATTATTATCATAATAGTCGATTAAAATCTGATTTTGCCATGATTATTACTGCTGAATTATTGATTAAAAATCGTATGATTTTAATCCATTTTTAATCGATTTTTTAAATCAATTTTTTCTACATGAGTAATTTTCACTTCTTGGCAGGATAGATAGAGTTAACTTACGACAAACGAAAAGGAAGATATGGTTCGAGTAAAATAAACGAAAGAAAGATATAGTTATAGTAAAACAAACGAAAAAAGGATATGGATAGTTAGAGTAAAATTAGCAAAAGAAGGATATTGTTGAGTATAGTAAACGAAAGAAGAATATTGTTAGAATATAGTACGCGAAAGGAGGATATGATTAGAGTAACATGAAGGAAGACAGGATACTATTAGAGTATAGGAAACGAAAGAGACTTCGTGGTTAGGGTTAATATAACGAAAAATACAGTAATGTTGGACCGAAGAAAAGTTTAGTAGATAGAAAAAAAAGACGGAAAAATCTAATTCGAGCTAAACGTAGAAAATATGGTGCGGAATTATATAGACAAATCGACTAATACTAACACAACACTTTCATTGAAAAACAAATTTATAAGAAATTTTCTGCTCTTCTACGTGTGAATTCAAAATTGCAATTAAATAAAACTGAATTATATCCAAAAAATATATCTAATTGGCTATAACCCATGTAAAAAATTTTCTTCAAAAAATCAAGAAATAATCAATTTTCAATCGATTATAATCATACGATTTTAATCAATAATTTAAGCAGTAATAATCGTAGCAAAATCAAGTTCTAACCGATTATTTCAATTATTCTAATTATAATCAATTTTTAAAAATATTCTAAATCGATTATAATCAGAATAATTGAAATAATCGATTAAAACTTGATTTTGTTATGATTATTACTGCTTAAATTATTGATTAAAATTGTATGATTATAATCGATTTTTAATCGATTTGTTGATAATTATTTTTCCATGGGAATTATGCCGCCATCTATCGAAGAATTTTGATTTTCCAAAAAATAATTCAGGCTCATCCGCAAAGACATTTCAGTTTATAAATAGAAAAAAGAAAAATTTTTATAACAAAAAAGTTTACTCAACGATACTATTATGTACGTCAAATTACGTCTACTACATCTTTTGTTCCATAACAAGGAAACTTTCTGGAATTATGAGATTGCATAGAAGTTACGAAAGTGATGGAATATATCATATTCAGCACTCTGCACTGGAATTATCATTGTAATTTTAGCCACTAAGAGAAAGAAACTGAGATGACTCAAACACTGATTACGTAACTCTTGATCGGTTGCTGAACGGACTATAGTTATTCAAATTTCCGTTGGAGAACAAAGCATCTAATGTTTCTGGACGGCCTATACAAGTAGTTGATATTGGAAAGAAAAAGAAACTATTATTTCTTTAACAAAACATTGGAAAGGGTATACATATGTAGATACTATTCCTTTTATTCTTCTTTCGACCTAATTATTTTTACATATCCAAGCTTGTGTAAAAGTAAAATTATTATGCAGAACTGAAAGTTATTTCATTAAAAATTAAAACAGAGTCGATAATAAAAAAAGGTTTCTGCTTTTGTTTTTTAGATCAATTATCAAAAACAAAATGTATCATGGGGAAAAAACAGTAAGACGTGGTGGTACATCTAATCAAGTACGAGTTCAAAATGCAACAAGAAATAGACCAATAACTCGAAAACAAAGTGCATTATTAGCCCTAGTACTCCCAGCCTGGGTTATTTTTGACCCAGACTCAAAAATT